GTTTATTACTAAATGTTTTATCTCTTTCATAGCTATTGTGAATGGTATAATTTCCTTATTTCTTTATCAAAGGAGTCCTTGCTGGTGTAGAGAAATCCAACTGATTTTTGTATGTTGATCTTGTATCCTGCCACTTTGCTGAACCTCTCTATTAGTTCCAGTAGTTTTTTTATTGAGTCCCTTGGGTTTTTTATGTATAGGATCATACCATATGCAAAAAGAGACAGTTTTAATTCCTCTTTGTCCTGGCCTTTTTTTGACTGAAGATATTGAGCTTATTTGTCTGTCATCTCAATATGCTGTCTACAAGAGACACATCTTAGAAACAAAGACAAAAATAGACTAAAAATCACAGCAGGTTCAAAAAGGATATATCAAACAAATGTCAATCAAAAAAGAGCAGGAGTGGCAATAATAATAGTGGTAGTTAAGTTTGTGTGTCAACTTAGCTAGACCTGGTTGAGTTGCTGGGCATCTGGATGTAGTATTCCCCATGATGAACCTGGTAATCACCTCCATGGTGGAATCGACTGTGAGCAGCTGAGTAGCTGCCTTAGGGATGTGGTCTGCTTCCTGTGTAAAGGAAGAAGCCTTGGGGAATGGTCTCTAGTTTATGGCACACTTGAACCCTGCATGTAGCCGAGTCCTCGTTGAGCAGCCTACCTTGCTCTGCTGACCTTGGAACTTTTAATAGATTTGAATTAATGGCCTGTCATGTGGTTTGGTAACAACAGGACTGTGTCTTGTTGTCGACCTTGGGCTTGTCAGCCTCAGCAGCCAGCAGCTGAGTGAAGAAAAGCCTCCAGCTTCAGTGGGCCAGGAGCAGGAGGCAGAGCTGAAGCCCAAGGTTGGGGGGCTTTTACCCAGCCCCTAGAGCCTGACACTTTGAACACAGACATAAAGCCTCCAAACTGTAAGAGAATAAAACTCCTGTTTGTTATGGCCATCTCATTTGTGGTATATTCCTGTCAGAGTACCACTAGGTAACCAAAACAATAATTTCTAATAAAATTGACTTTAAGACAAACACTAACATAAGAGACAAGGAAGGACATTATATAATGATTAAAGTATCTGTTGGACAAGAGATCATAACCATAATAAATATCAATGTACCCAGAGGAAGAAACCATATATATAAATCAGACTTTAACAGAATTCAAAAGACAAATAGATAACTCCACAGTCATAACAGGAGACTTTAATACACCACTTTCAATCACAGATAACTGGAAAGAAACTCAACAAAGATGCAGAAGAACTAAACGAGACAATCCACCAACTTGATCTTCTGGATATCTACAGAACACTTTACTTAACAGCAGTACAATATACATTCTTTTCCAGTGCACATGGAACATTCTCCAGGATAGACCATATGTTAGGACACAAAGCAAGCCTTAATGAATTTTAAAACATTGAAATACTGCAAAGCATCTTCTCAGATCACAATGCTGTAAAATTAGAAATCACCAATAGGAAGATCAATGGAAAAAGAACAAACACATGGAAACTGAATAACACCCTCCTTGAAAATGACTGGGTAATAGAAAAAATGAAATAAAAAATTCCTTGAATCAAACAAAAATGAAAATATAACATACCAAAATCTTTGGGATACAGCAAAAGTAGGGATCAGAGGGCAATTTATAGCAATAAAGGTACATATCAAAAAAGAAGAGCAAACTAAAATCAACACCTTAACCCAACATCTCCAAAAATTAGAAAAAGAGTAGCAAACCTACTGCACAGCCACACTAGTCAAAACAGCCTGGTATTAATACAATGACAGACACATAGACCAGTGGAATAGAATTGAGAACCCAGAAATTGATCCATTGACCTTTTTTTACCACGGGCTAAAATCCATTAAATGGGGAAGAGCTTGTCTCTAACAAATTGTGCAGGTGAAACTGGATATCCATTTGCAGAAAAATGAAACAAGATCCGTACCTCACACCATACACAAAAACTAACTCTAGATGGATCAAAGACCTAAATGTGAAACCTAAAACTTTAAAGTTCCTCAAGGAAAAGATAGGGGCAAATATAGAGACCCTCATTTGTGGCATAAATAGACTCTCAAGCATAATCCAGAATGCACAAACTAGGTGAATGAGACCTTCTAAAATTTAAATTTTTTATGTGCTTCGAAAGACTTCTCCAGAAGAGTAAAAAGAGAACCTACAGATTGGGAAGAAATATTCAGCAACAACATATCTGACAAGGGACTTACCTCTCAAATGTATGGAAAATTCCAACACTTCAACAACAAAAAGACAAAACAATCCAATTCAGAAATGGGCAGAAGACATGAACAGACACTTCACCAAAGAGGATATTCACACGGCCAGCAAACATATGAAGAAATGTTCATGACAATTAGCCATTAGATGCAAATCAAAACAATGAGATACCATCTTGCCCCAGCACTAGTAGCAAAGTTTAGCAAGACAGAAAATAACAAATGCTGGTGAGGACATGGAGAGATTGAGACTCTCATACACAGCTGGTGGGACTGTAAAATGATATAACCACGGTGGAAAGCAGTATAGTGATTCCTTAAAAAGTTCTAATTAGAAATACCGTTTGATCCAGCAGTCCCATTACTAGGTATACATTCTGAAGAAGGAAGAGCCAGGCCTAGTACTGATACACACACACCCTTGTTCATTGCAGCCTTATTTATAATAGCAAAAAGATGGAAACAATCTAGGTGCCTGTTATCTGAAGAATGAATATCCCAACTGTGGTACATACACACAATGGAATACTATGCAACACTAAAGAATAATGTAGAATCTGCAAAACACCACATAATATGGATGAACTTGGAGGACATTATGCTGAGTGAAATAAGTCAATCACTGAAGGACAAATATAGTATTAGTTCATTACTGTAAAAAGGAAAGGTTCATATACAGAAGAAAAGTTTCTTTGTTGGTTATCAGGTCTGGGAGGTGAGGGAAGGGAACACTGCTAGATAGGTAGAGACAAGTATTGATTTGGGTGAAGGGAGAGGCAATGTACCAAATGTGAGTGATCACTATGGTGGCATTGAGGAAGAAGACAGAGAGAGGTACATGGGAAGTACAAACAACAAAGATGAACCCTTTTGCATGTACAGTACTACATTGTCAGTGATGGAAAGCTTTGATCTATGGGTGGTTAGATGGGTGGACAGGTTGAAGGATCAGGTATGTCTAGGCAGGGGGTAGTGTGCCCATGACCATGTATAGGGTTAACAGACAATGTTTCTACATCCATGTTTGTATCTGCTGTAAGAATGTGTGTGTGTATAGTTGAGCTGGCAAAGGGCAAGGTTGTGGTAGCTTCTTGGCCACAGTCAGCTACCTGGAGGGAGCGAGTAGTTAGACCTGTTGGCTCAGACCATGGTCGCAGGGGACATCAAGCTCAATTGGCATAACATACTACACAAAAACAATGTTTTACATCCTACATCGGTGAGTAGCAATTAGCATCTTAAAAGCTTTCAAGTGGCCACCCATTGGCAACAGTGGGTCTCTCCTTGTCCAGAGCAAAGAAGAATAAAAACCAAAGACACTGAAACAATTAGTCCAAGGGATTGTAGACCATGTAACCTCAGTCTATATGACCATGAGGTCAGAAGAAGTAGATGATGCCCAGCTACCACTGTCAACCGCTTGGAGGGGGATTAGTGCAGGAAATCCTGGATAGAGTGATGGAACAATGTGGAACAAAACTCAAAATCATAAAAAAAAAAAAAAAAACAGGTTTCCTCGTTCTATAGAGCCTGGTGATACCTCTGAGACTATGTCCCCTAGCTGCCTTTCAGGTCTGGAATTGAACTTAATCCTGTGGTTTCCAGCCAAAGAATAGACAGACATATGGGGTGAACATTTACATCAGGTAGATATAATCCTTGGAGCAATCATAGGTGAACAGAAAGACAGTGGGAACAGAAGGGAGACAGCTTGGGGGCATGAGTGCTGGGGAGGAAGTGGCAAGAGAGCTGTTACATTGTAGGGAATTGCAGTCAATGTCATGAGACAACATGTGTAGGAACTGCTGTATGGAAAATGAATTTGCTCTGTAAACTGTCACACAAATCACAGTAAAAACTGAAGAAAAAAAGTTATATATCTGACAATACAAAGTGTTGGCAAGGATGTTCACAGGAATTGAAGCTCTGATAATACTGTTGCAAAGAGAGTAAAGTGATATAAAATAAACCACTTTGGGAGTATTTAGTAAAATTGAAGGTGATGTACCCTGAGAACAGGGATTCTCCTCTTAGGTAAATAACCTAGAGAAAACCATTCATCAGCGTACTAATGTCTTTTATACAAAAATATACTTAACAGCTTTGTTTGTAACTGTCAGGAAACTTAACAGGTGGAGAATGGATAACTAAATGAAGGTGTTTTTCATGTACTACAATACCATAAAACAATAAAAATGAGAGTACCACCATGTACATCAAAAGCAATACATCTTAAAAACATAATATGCAAAGGAAGAAAGATAGAAAATAATACATACAGTATGATTTCATTTATATGAAGTGCAAAACCAGGCGAAACTAAATTATATTTATGAGTGCATACTTGAATGATAAACTATAAAAGCAAGCAAGAAATTAAGTTAGAATGGGAGTGACCTCTTGGGGAAAGAAAGCTGCTTGAATGATGACTCTGTTCTCTCTCTTAACTAGGATAGAGATTACATTTATGCATCCAGATGTGCTTTATGTTTCATGTACCTTTCTGTATGTGTTTTATTTCAAAATAAAAAGTTTAAAAAGTATTCACACACTGCTGCTATGTTGAGAATGGATGGTGCATAAGAAAGAATGGAAACAGGAAAACCAGAATCTAGGTGAGAGATAATAGGACCAGGACAGTGTTGGTAATGGAGATAGAGAGGATACAGATCCAGGAAGTAAGTCTAATAAAGATTTGTTACTACACTGTATCCTCATTTGCTAATGGCTTGTTTCCTCTTGTTCTTTGTGGTAGTTCATAAACCAGAAAAGGTTACATGGACAGAAGCAGCTGGAACCATTCGGGATGGAGTCCAAGCCTATACAGCTCTGCATTACCTTTCTCATCTCTCTCCTGGAAAATCGGTGCTAATAATGGATGGAGCAAGTGTGGGTATTAATAATTTTGAAACAGACTTAAATATAGGAAACTTGGGGAATTCAGAAATAGGCCTTCCATTTGCTAATGTAATTCCTTGCCAATAGTTTATTAATTGATTTTTTTGTTTGTTTACCAAACTTCCATTTTGTTATAATCAGCTTTTATCAATAAGAGATAAAAGTTAAATTTCATGTGATTAGTTTCCAATTACTTTGAATCAGCTGATACTTTAAAAAGCAGACAAGCCATTTTTATTTATGCCTGTGACACAAAGCCTGAAATAGCGCATGGGTCTTTGAAGGCATATCTAGAGCATCGTTAGCTTACACTTAATGCTAGTAAAAGTATTAGGTTTTATAGGTGGATCACTCAGGATCAAAAAGGTGCTCATTTAAATATATATATGATCAAAAAGGATAATTCAAGAGAGAGAATACATGAAAATACAATATAATTTTAAAAATGTTACAAAGCTTAGGATGAATTTATAGTTTTGTTTTCAATCCGACTGGATGAAAATACTGTTTCCCCTGCTTTTCTTTGACAAAAAGGCAGGACTTATCAGCATTGGCGTCAGCCTGATGTCCAACAGCATAATAATGCTTTCCTGAACTTCCCCAGGTGTCAACAGAAGGTTTTTGAAGTGCTTTAATGTTCAAAGAGGTAGCTTACAATGTCTTGCTGACAAGGCCCTTCCAAAGCCAAAAACCAAACTCACTGCCATCGAGTCAAATTCAACTCAGCGACCCCCTTTGGGTTTCTGAGGTAGATTGCTCAGTCTTGCTTCTGCGGAGTGGCTGGTGGGTTTGAACTGACAGCCTTCTGGTCAGCAATGAAATGGACACCCTTTTTTTCTTTCCAAGCCATATTTCTGAATGCAGCTCTCCATTCTTAACAATATATGCTGTGCTCAGCCTGGATATAAGCATGTGACCTGAGCAGGTTTTCCACCATCCCTTCTGAAAAAGAAGTCAGCCAAATGTTTCCCCTACTATGCTTGTCTATCATTTCTTCTTATTCTAAAAGATGTAATTTTAAAATATATTAAATTATTATACTTTATTAAACAAGTTATAAATTAGGTATGGCCTTTGCTATCTATCAACCTATCATGTATTTTTTCTCCATACAGACATTTGGTACAATAGCTATTCAGTTAGCACACCATAGAGGAGCGAAAGTGATTTCAACAGCATGTAGCCTAGAAGACAAGCAGTACCTTGAAAGACTTAGGCCTACTATCGGTGAGTAATTTTACTCAACACAAACATTAAAACATAAAATTTTTAAGAGAAATCACCTTAAAAACTACACTTAAAAATAAACCAAATCCCAAATGAAAGTAAGTCACTTTTAAAATGTGCTTTGTATCTATAGTGAGTCCAAGGTTACTTAAGTGACAAGTTTTAATTAAGTTTTTCAAACCTACATTTTTCATCATTTTTCCATCTTTGCTGTACTATTACCAACTTACTCAAGTTTAGGTGAACTTTAACACAATTTAGAAGTACATGATGCTTGTTTGGTTTTAGTCAATATATTTTTGCATAGTTTTGTATGTTACCAGAAACTAAACTCACTGCCATCAAGTCGATTCCGACTCACAGCCGCCCTCTTTGGGTTTCCAAAGCAGTAAATCTTTATAGAAGTAGATTGCCCAGTCTTCCTTCCATGGAGTGGCTGGTGGGTTTGAACTGCCAACCTTCTGGTTAGCAGTCAAATGCCTTAGGTACTATGCCACCAGAGCTCCTTACTTTGCATGTTACTCAGCCTCTTTTCCTCAGGTATACTTTAAATTTCTCTATTTTCTGTGATATACTATGGAGGGAGATGATCCACTTGCACAGAAACGCAGGTCATACATACAGTGTGTGATCAGCAGGATACGAGGAAACTGTTGAGCTCTTGAAAAGAATTGAACATGTTGGAACAACAGTGAATGTGGAAAGGAGGAAGAAAATAGAGACTGAAAAAGGGTCCTTCCGAAGCTTGAGCCCATTGTCACATCTATTGCTCCAGTCCATCTTGTTGAGAGTCTTCCCTTTTCTTGCTGACTCTGTCTTTACTTTACCAAGCATGATACCTTCTCTAGGGACTTGTCTTTTCTGACAACATGACCAACTATATTAGACAAAGTCTAGCCAATCCTGCTTCTAAGGAGCGTCCTGGCTGTATTCCTTCTAAGACAGGTATGTTTGTTCTTCTGGCAGTGCATATTTTCAGTGTTCTTCACCAACACCACAAATCAAATGCACCAGTTCTTCACTCTTCCTCATTCATTGTCCAGCTCTCACATGCATATGAGGCTATTGAAAATACCATGGCTTGAGTCAGGCACAGCTTAGCCTTCAAATTGACATCTTTGCTCTTTAACACTGTAAAGAGGTCTTTTAAAACAGATTTTCCCAGTGTAATACCTCATGTGATTTTTTGACTGCTGCTTTCATGGGCATTCATTATACATCCAAGTAAAATTAAATTCCTGGCAATTTCAATCTTTTCTCCATTTATAATAACGTTGCTTATTGGTGCATTTGTGAGGATTTTCGTTTTCTTTATGTTGAGGTATAATCCATACTGAAGGCTGTAATCTTTGATCTTTACCAGTGACTGATTCAAGTAATCTTCACTTTCAGCAGGCAATGTAGTGTCATCTGCATATTGCAGTTTTTTAATGAGTCTTCCTCCAATCCTGATGCCAGCTTCTTGGATTAGTTGCTCAGCATATAGATTGGATAAGTATGGGGAAAGGATAAAACCCTGACACACATTTTCCTGATTTTAAACCATGCAGTATTTCTTTGTTCTGTTTGAACAACACAGCCTCATGGTCTGTGTACAAGTTCCTCATGGGCACAATTAAGGGTTCTGGAATTCCTACTCTTTACAGTGTCATCCATAATTTGTTATGGATACCAGAAAGATGTTTACAGTTGAATGCCTTTACACAGTCATTAAAACACAGGCAAACATCTGTTTTAGTTCTCCGGTGCTACTATAAACAGATATACCACAGATGGATGACTAACAAATAGGATTTTATTCTCTTACACTTTAAGAGGCTAGAAGTCCAGGTTCTCAGAGTGCCAGCTCTAGGGGCTAGATCTTAGGCTTCAGCTATGCCTCTTACTCCAGGACCACTGGACCTGGACACTTCTCTTAGGCAGCTGCTGGCTGCTGAGGCTGAGAAATCCAAAGTCAACCAGTAAAATGGCACAATCCCAAGATTATTAAGCAACATGACAGGCCAGCAGCTCAAGTCAGGAAACAGTCCCAAGAACGGCAGGCAACGTTGCAGACTGCTGAATGAAGACTCAGATAAATATGGGATCCAGACATACCAAAAAGCTAGAAAATTTTCTCAAAGCCTCCCACCCCCCACCCACCGCCTATAATGAGGATATGAGCTCGTTAACATAACAAAGAAAACTATTCTCAAATGAGATTACACACAGGTTAGGAACTCAACATGTTTTGTTTTGTTTTGTTTGCATTGTTCCCTCTCTTCCCCTCCAACCTGTGGTAACCAACAAAGAAAGTTTCCTTCTGTATATGAACCTTTCCTTGACTTTTTACAGTAATGAATACTATATTTGTCCTTCTGTGATTGACTTACTTCACTCAGCATAATGTCCTCCAAGTTCATCCACGCTATGTGGTGTTTTGCAGATTCTATGTTACTCTTTAGTGTTGCATAGTATTACACTGTGTGTATGTACCACAGTTGGGTTATCCATTCTTCTGTGAATAGGCACCTAGGTTATTTCCATCTTTTTGCTATTGTAAATAGTGTTGCAATGAACATGGTGTTGTTGTTAGGTGCTGTCCAGTCATCTCCAACTCATAACTACCTTATGTACAACAGAACAAAACACTACCTGGTCCTGTACCAGCCTCACAATCCCTACTATATCTGAGCCCATCATTGCAGCCTGTATGGCCTTCCCCTTTTCCTTTGACCCTCCACCCTACCAAGCATGATATCCTTCTCCAGAGAATGGTCTGTTCTGACAACATGACCAAGGTAGGTGAGACGAAATCTAGCCATTCTCACCTCAAAGGAGTATTCCAGCTACACTTCCTCCTGTACAGATTTGTTAGTTATTTTAGAAGACTATGGTACTCTCAGCATTTTTCGCTAGCAATACAACTCAAAAGCGTCAACTCTTCTTCGGTTTTCCTTATTCATTGTCCAGCTTTCACATGCATAAGAGGTGATTGAAAATACCATGGCTTGGGTTAGGCCTAGTCTTCAGCGATACTTCTTTGCTCTTCAGCACTTCAAAGAGGTCTTTGGCAACACATTTGTCCAGTGCAGTATGTTGTCTGATGTTTTGACTACTGCTTCCATTGGTGTTGATTGTACAACGAAGTAATATGAAGTCTTTGGCAAGTTCAATCTTTTCTCCATTTATCGTGATGCTGTTTATTGGTCCACTTGTGAGGATTTTTGTTTTCTTTATATTGAAGTGTAATCCATACTGCAGACTATAGTCTTTAATCTTCAACAGTAAGTGCTTCAAGTCATCCTCACTTTCAGCAAGCAAAGTAGTGTCGTCAGCGTATCGTAGGTTAATGATTCTTCCTCCAATCTTAATGCCATGTTCTTCTTCATATAGTCCAGCTTCTCAGATTATTTGCTCAGCATACAGATTGAATAAGTGTGGTGAAAGGATACAACCCTGATGCACTCCCTTCCTGATTTTAAACCATGCAGTATCGCCTTGTTCTGTTCGAACAGCAGCCTTCTGGTCTATGTACAGGTTCATCATGAGTACAGTCAAGTGCTCTGGAATTCCCTTTCTTCTCAGTGTTATACATAATTTGTTTTGATCCACACAATATAACGCTTTTGCATAGTCAATAAAACACAAGTAAACATGTTTCTGGTATTCTTTGCTTTCAGCCAAGATCTTTCTGACATCAGCTATGATATCCCTTATTCCACATCCTCTTCTGAATCCACCTTCCCTTTCTGGAAGTTCTCTGTCAATATAGTGCTGTAACTGTTTTTGAATTAATCTTCAGTAAGATTTTACTTGCATGTGATATTAATGATATTGTTTGATAATTTCCACATACTGTGGGATCACCTTCTTTGGAATGGGTACAAATATGGACCTCTTCCAGTCAGTTGGCCAGGTAGCTGTTTTCCACATCTCATGGTATGGCCAACTGAGTGCCTCCAGCGCTGCATCTGTTTGTTAAAACATCTCAATGGGTATTCCATCAATTCCTCAGCCTTGTTTTTCACCAGTTCCTTCAGTGCAGCTTAAACTTCTTCCTTCAATACCATTGGTTCTTGATCATATGCCACCTCCTGAAATGGATGAACATCAACCAATTATTTCTGGTATAGTGACTGTGTATTTCTTCCATCTTCTTCTGATGTTTCCTGCACCATTCAATATATTGCCCATAGAATCTTTCAATGTTGCAACGTGAGGCTTATTTTTTCCTTGTTTCTTTTGGCTTCAGAAGTGCTGAACTTGTTCTTCACTTTTGGTTTTCTAACTCCAAGTCTTTGCACATTTCATTATGATAATTGAGTATGTCTTCTCGAGCTGCTCTTTGAAATCTTCTGTTCAGCTCTTTTATCTTGTCATTTCTTCCTCTTTTCTTGCTTTAGCTACTCTCCATTCAAGGGCATGTTTCAGAGTCTCTTCTGGCATCCATTTTGGTCTTTTCTTCCTTTCCTGTATTTTTAATGACCTTTTGCTTTCTTCATGAATGATATTCTTGATGTCATCCCAAAATTCCTCTGGTTTTCAGTCATAGGTGTTCAGTGCATCAAATCTATTCTTTAGCTAGTCGCTAGATTCAGGAGGGATATGATCAAGGTTATATTTTGGCTCTCATGGCCTTCTTTTAATTGTCTTCAGCTTCAGCTTGAACTTGCACATGAACAGTTGATGGTCTGTCGCACAGTCAGCTCCTGGCCTTGTTTTCACAGAAGATACTAAGCTTCTTCATCACCTCTTTCCACAGATATAGTCAGTATGATTCCTGTGTACACCATCTGGCAAGGTCCACATGTATAGCTGTTGTTTGTGTTGTTGAAAAAAGGTATTTGTAATGAATAAGTCATTGGTCTTGCAAAATTCTGTTGTGCACTCTCCAGCTTTATTTCTGTCACCAAGGCCATATTTTCCAACTACTGGTGATTCTTCTTTATTTCCAACTTTTGCATTCCAACCATCAGTGATAATTAGCACATCTTGATTGCACGTTTGGTTAATTTCAG